GAAAGCACTTCTCAGGAACCGAACGTCGGCCCTCCAGCATTTGAAAAATAATCGAGCAGCTAAAATGAAACTCTAAACAGGTTCGTATCAAGTACTCACAGTGGATGCCGCCAATTTTCAAAATCGCCATCCCTTCCGCTCACCACTCAAATTCACCTTCTCGAGTTTATGTTTCAACTCCACGTTCAAAGTAGCTTTAACTCTGTATAGTTAAAGTTCACGTAGTTACCAGGAATAATTCGAATTATTTTCTCTCCCACAGAAAAAGACAGAAACGAAGTTGCTTCTTTTCTGTCTTTTTACGTGTCTTTCTTTTTCTACAAAGAAAAGAAGTTGTGTTTTTTGATAATTTATAATTTTTCTTTTATAATTGATGATCTAAATAAATAATTTTCACGTAAAGATGTATAAATGAATGAGAAATAAGTAAAAACCGTAATGAGCGTAGAATCATTGAGATTCCGAAATCTCTGTTTTTTTTTCATCCAAATTCAACATAGTCGACACTTTTTCATATTTTTGGTAGTAAGATCTGTCTGATTGCCACAGACTTGTCTGGATTTTTGAAGAAAAATGAAAATTTTTAAAAAATTTGAAATATATTTCTTCCTATATGTTTCAGTCGATTGATCGCAAACTTTGAAGCAAAAATTCTGACAATTTCAACCAAGTTTCTCAGAATTTTTTTAAAAATTTGAGACTGTTTAAAGGGTACAAAATCTTCGATTCGGGGTACGAAATAGTTGAAAATTTTCGATGTACTACCGAGTTGTGGGTTTTGCACCCCTAATAAAATCAAATATTCTACAATTTTCCAACCTACCGTATACCCCCGCTTTTTCATCAGACACTGATTTGCAAGCGATGAAATTTCCGAGGCGATTCCAGAACAATTGAATTCCTTGATTTTTTCAGCATCCTCCATTTTCGACATGAGTCGAGAAGCCAGTCCTTTCCGCTGATAATCCTTGGCGACACTGAGGATTTCTCTGAAAAATCGAGTTTCTGATTCTGAGATTCTGAGATCCTGAGATTCTGAGATTCTGAGATTCTGAGATTCTGAGATTCTCAGATTCTGAGATCCTGAGATTCTGAGATTTTGAGATTCCTGGGATTCTAAATTTCTGAATATCTTTAAAAAATTGTTTTTGATTGAATACTGTCAAATTCTAGATTATCATTTTTATCAATGTTTTCCTGACTTCTGATCAATTCCCATCAATCCAGACTTTGTTATTATTTTTTTCCAACGTCTTCTTTTTGCTGTAATGCAATTGATGATCAAAAGTACACATGACTAATAGACTTGTTCTTGGGTCTTTACACTCTTGTTTCACGTCTTCTTCTACTTCAGAATCACCATCTGAAGAAGATGACGTCATCCGAATCATCGGACCCAAGTTCTCTTCCAAATCGACTTTATTAAATTCGACTCCTAGCTGGGTCACCATTTGACAAACAATCCCTTGGGCGAAGAGTCCGATGTTCAAAAAGGGAGGATCCCGAAAAACTGGTTTTTCCAATTTTCAGCAGATTTGATATAAATATTGTTAAGATTTCCGAATTGACCAAAACAACAACAACTAATTCAGTTGTCATTTTATGAAATTTAAAATGGCATCTCTAAAGGTTTTGGCTATTTGTGCGATTCTGGTAATCTGTTGCGCTATGCTTGGTGCGGCCCAACAAGAAGATGCAGTGTATGTTAATTTAGTCCTACAGTAACCCCTAATTCCAATTTTTCAGCGGAGTTCGTGAGAAACGACAATGGGGATGGGGAGGTCGTGGTGGATGGGGAGGTGGCTGGGGACGTCCATATGGAGGATACGGTGGATGGGGTGGACGTGGATATGGTGGAGGATGGGGACGTCCATATGGAGGATACGGTGGATGGGGACGTTAAACCAATCAACCCGGCTCAAAATTTTTGCTCAAGTTTTGATAATCTGATTGTTTTTATGGTTTTGTATAAATAAAAATGTTTTTTTTTTTAATTCAAAAGTTTCGTTTCTCGACTCCAGAAAATTAAAATTTGTTATAGAAGAGTCACTAGCTTCTAATTTGAAACAGCTTTCTCAATTACTGTCAAAGATGTCAAAATCTGTCAACTGATAAATTGTTTATCATAATATCACAAAAATTGTACCAGTTGACCTTTTAATATATTGCTTAGGAAACTACGGAAAAACTTGCTAAAACTTGACAGCGCGGGGCCCTTCTATTACAGGTTTTTTAGAAATTAAAGCTCACAATCAAATAGTTCCTGAAACATTTTTTAAATTTTCTTACCGGAAAATTATATTTTTCGAAATTCAAGGTAACTTGAAATTTGTATACATTTATGGAACTGTTAAATTTCTTCCCGTAAAGTTGCAGTTGGATCGTTTTGAGCTAAAATTTCATTTTAAAAAACCTGTTTCCCTAGAATCTCCATTTCTAGGTCCCTTTAAGATAAAGGAACATGAACAAAAATGTTTTCCGAAATTTAGTTTTTTTTTTGCGCTCCTCCAAGTGTTGAATTTATGAGTTTATCGTTAGAGGTGCGATGCTCCAAGCTGAGCTACGGTGGCACGCCCCGCGTCTCCTGCCTTGACAACTTTGAGCGCAGATTTTTCATTTTCTGTGAAAGATATCAAAAAGTGATCAACTAACAAATTGTTTTTCAAAGTATTTTGTTAGTTGACTACTTTTTGATATCTTACAGAAGAATTGAGATAACTCCAATATCAGGTATGTTTCTTCTATCAGGAATATCGCGCTGACTATGAGTAGACAGAACCTTACAATGATGGCTTTAAGATTTTCGAATTGTTTCTTAAAGGTGGGGGACATGAAAAAAAATAATGTTCTCGAAATTCCGTTCAAAGATGCCCCTCGAGGAGTTGAACTTGTGAGGGCGATGATTGAGGGTGCGGCGCCGCTACCGACTGAGCCACGCGGGCAAAGAGAAAGCGCACGCCCGATTGCATACATAAAGGCGAGGACGACAGCTGTACGCAGAGTGACATTAAGCGTTGTACACCGTGACGGTAGAATGCATAAAAAAAAATCTCCTGTCCCCCCACCTTTAAGATTTTCGAATTGTTTCTTAAAATCTGCCGATCGAAAATCACAAAAAATCCAAAAGCTCAAATCTGAATGTTTTTTCTTGTTTTTTGAGACTTTTCCCAGTAAGACGAACAAGAAAGACATTGGCTAGAACGAAAACAAAAACAGTCGATGACTAATGATTACACTTCTCCTGGTCATCTGCCATTATTTGTTCATTTCTAACTTTAATGACCTAATTTTCTTTTTCAGTCCTCCCCTCTAACTTACAAATGCAAAACTTGAGCAATATCCGGTCGAAGTTCAAAAAACTTGGCGTGTAGTTCCGTCAAAATCTTGCCCAACACTCCGATTTCTTTTCTCTCTCCGTTGTCAAACTCGAATTCGTCGCCATGGTTTTCCGATTCTGCTTTCGATTCGTTTTTCCACAACGAAGACATTGCACATGCAACGATTTTGTTGGTTTCTGAAAAATAAATGTGGACATCCGGACAAACAGACAAACTTTTTTTCCAGGCTTGAAAATTGTTCCCAATCTGGGCTCTGACGAGTCCTGTCATTGTTCCTTTTAGAATCTATATTTTAGAATCAATTAATTTAGATACGGTCGAACTCGACGAGTATAAAAATGATGATATTTGGAAAATAAATAGTCAGGCATCATCTCGCTGCTATTTCGGGTTATCTGTGAAAATTTGGGAAACCTTGATCCATTGGGGACTTCGCTAGGGTCGGTGACAAAGAAACAAACGGACACACTCAAACACAGAACTTGTTCAGGTGGTTTTCAGCTTGTAACTCTGTACATAAACAATGTACAGAAGAACAAATAGTATCATTTTGTAGTGCTCATTGAGTTATATCATGTCTATTTTAGTTCGTCCAACAATATTGATTTTTTAAGAAATTATGGTATGGTCCATTTTCAAGCCTGCTTTAATCCTCACCCTTATCTACCAGCGCATAGGAGAATGGAATGTTCAAGGTTCTCTCAAAAAGCTTATCCACAAATGGCTGGAAATTTTGCTGGGTCATCCCACATGCCCTATTCATTGGCTCCTCGAATAGAAAATGGCTGTTTAGAAATTCCGACAGCTCTGCTGCGTTTTCATGGGTAAGAAGCACAAATGCAAACGGATCGTCGGACATTTTCAGAGGATCTGAAATGAAAAGTGAATCTCAAAAAAAAAAGAAACGAGATTTTTAATAAAAAAAAAGTTGTCAAGACTGACTCATAGGCTATTGGAGCATGTGCGTGTGTGAGAAAAAAGCCAGTAGAATAGACCAAAAAAGAGAAAAAAAGACGAAACAGATGTTATATTTTTCGCAAGAAAATGAGAGAGAGAGGGCGGATGGATGAGATTAGGCTGCCCCCGGAAAGAGCACACGGAGCCAAAAGTGAGAGAGAGTGAGAGAGACGCAGTGAAACAGGGATTCGGCGGTGAGATTAGTTAGTGTGGTGTTTCGGTGGTTTGGTTGGTTTTGAAAAGCTGCCAGAGAGGAAATTAGATTTCCCTTGTGGTGTAAAAGGGGAATACGAGTTCATTTGAGTTTGAGCCTAGAGGAAGAGAGTGAGAGATTTAGAGAAAAAATGAGTTCCGACTGATCCCGAGCCGGGGTTCCAAAGCAAACATAGAGTGTCTAGAGGTCAAGAGTTCAGTTGTAGTTTGTAGTTTGTATTTTTGAACAAAGAAACTTGTCATTGAAAAAATCAAATAACATAGGATTCATTTTTTTACACATCATCAAAAGTTCCAGCGAATTTTCTAAGAATGCTTTATGAGTCACGAACGGCTGATTCATTAGAAATTCAATACACTGGCTTATATAGAATGTTTACGACTTCTCTATATTGGACAAATAAACAAATGAAAATTATTCATAACTATGAAGATATGGGTTTTAGGGATTTTGCTATAAAAATATATTAAACGAATTGGCTAAGATTTAAGCGGATTCCTAGGGATCAAGGATTTATGGTTTTGGTTTGAAATTTTATTGAACTGTAAAAACTGAAATATGTAGTGGGGGACGGTGTGGTTCTACATATTTTTTTCTACATATTGCCATTTTTACGTGGTGGCCTAGAGAACCAAATTTGCAAAAGTTAGGTCATCACTTCAAAATGGCCTAGAAAACATACCAGGGTCATGTTAGGCTATTCTTAGGCCATTTCGAAGTGGTGGCCTAGGAAACCGAATTTGCAAAAGTTAGGCCACCACTTTTTAAATGGCCTAGAAAACACACCAGGTTCATGTCAGACCATTTCTAGGCTATTTTTACCTGGTGGCCTAGGAAACCAAACTTGCAAAAGTTAGGCCATCACTGCAAGATGATACCGTCTCGAAAAAATTCCTCCAAGTCGTGTCGAAAGGACGCAATGCTTGTGATGTATGTTTGCAACAAATTATCAAAATTCAACGATTTTTAATCAGTGTTTAATGTTACAAGTCTGACCGGCCGCGAGGCCGTCAGTGGCATGGGCTGGAAAAAACCGCGGGCGGCTTGGTTCACCCTTATTTTGCTCATCCATAGTCCACCCACACTTTTATTTTCAATCAAGGTATTCTATATTTTTCAGTTCACCTGTTTTCACTTTCTTATCGACTGTTTCTACCACAAAGTGCAAGGAAACTGTCTCGTCAATTGTTTTTGAAACTTGAACCTCATTATGTTTCAAACCCTTTTTTCAGGTCAAAACTAGTTCTGTGTCTTTGATGTTGCCGACAATTCTTTTTCTCTGAAAAAAATCCTCGATATGGTTTCCTATTTTTCATCTTTTCCACCTAATTGTAAGTTACCAGTCGGTTTACGCCCCTTCGGTGCTAAACCTCTTGGCCTCCGGTCGCCCTCCACCATCGCCCTTTCTGCCCACCACCTTTTACTGACAAGGGAAGGTTTTTCAGACAACGGTTGAGAATTTGCTCGAAATTCGTACAAAGGTACTTTCGAATATGCTGAATCCGAATCCAAAAAAAATTTTAGCCCGTTCTCGAAAGGAGCCGAAATATGGCCTCTGAAAGTGCTTTCAGTACTAAATTTTGGCCAAAAACATGCATTTTTCGAGGTTAAAAATTAGTTTTTCAGGATTTGCTTGAGTGCGAAACTCATTTTTGGACATTTTTCTATCTTCTAAAGTAACTTTTAAACATTTTCAAAAAAATTTTTTTTTGAAAAATTTTGAAAAAAATCACCATGGGGTCCCCCACACTTTGAAAATGATTTTTTAAAAATTTTTTGAAAAGTGCGAAAAAACGTTCCAATTATTCAGAAACGATAAAAATAGCATTCTGACAAATTTTTTCAGCCCAATGTTGTCTTTGGGCTCAAAAAATCTCCAAAATCTGATTGTTATTAGAACTTTGACCGTCCCTAATTTCTGAAATATCGCTTGAAATTTACTGCAACTTTTTTGTTTGAATTCGAAAAAAATCCGTTTTCGGATCAAATTCTTATCTCTAAATCTCTTTTTCGGGTCTAAAAAGTTCGTTTCCCCCTCCTCCTCTCTCGGAGATTCGCATCTTCATTCAGAATACGTTCATTGTTCAGTTCCCTGAATATTTCTTGAAATTATGCCTTCATCAACTTCCTCAGAATACCGTATGCCAACCCTTGAAGAAGAGAACTGTGTGATTTGCGGGGACCTGGTGAAGAGCAATCGATTAGGAGCACCAGCCTGTTGGAGTTGTATGATATTTTTTCGAAGAGGTGTCATTCGAAAATCTGGCTTCGTATGCCCTAGAAATAAAGACTGTTGTGTAGTGAATGGTAGGTAGTGTCTTCAGATCCAGACTTTTAAATTTTTATAGACTATTTCAGAACTTCGAGTCTCTTGCCGTCACTGCCGGTTCCAAAAATGTCTCCAATCTGGGATGAAGCCATCTTTTGTTGTCACTCGGGACACTTTGGAACCTCGAACTCCACCGCCATCCATCATAGATATCCCCAAAAATCTTGTGGAACCTCTTGTCAAACTTCAAGACTCTCTATTAGAAGATCATCAGAAGCAGATGATACATCCTTTTAGAAGAGCGACAGTAGCCGATGTGAATCAAATGTTTAAATGGAGTTTCAATGATTCGATCAAGTGGGCATCGAATTTTGAGCCATTTTTAAGACTGACGAATGAGCAGCAGAAATGTGTCATTTCGGAGTTTGGTTTTGCGTTTTTCATTATTGATCAGGGATTCGAAAATGCAAAGCATTGGCGGAAGAGATGCTGGATTTTGCAAAATGGAACTTTGCTATACTCGGATTATTTTAAAGAACTAGAAGATAGCAGAGGAATTTTGGAGTTTGATCCGGATTTGATAAGGTTTGTTCTGTTAAAATACATCGAAAAGTTGAGCTAGCTAAGGTGGCACAAGCCGGGCGGCCCGTCGATGTCATACCATATACGTTTATTTTGAGCTCAACTGTCTAAGTTCTTCTAAAACATACCAAAAAATGGTCAACTGACAAAATACCACTGATATTATGTTAAACATTTTGTCAGTTGATCAATTTTTGATATCTTTTACCAGCCATCTGCTTGCCGAGCCTTCCGCGCTTCAATAAGCTGGCTGGTGCGCCTTTGGCGCGATTCAGCCTAGTTTTTTCTTTTTACTGGTTTGTCGGTTCATGCCCTAAAATGACCTATAAAACACACCAGGGTCATTTTATTGCATTTTCAGGCCATTTTGAAGTGGTGGCCTAACTTTTGCAAGTTTGGTTTTTTACTTGCGCCACAGTAGCCCAGCTGCAAGGCTGTGCGAAAATCGGCCGTGGCCGGCCGCGGCCGAGGCCGTGGGTATTTTGCCGTGGACCAATCCGGCCGTTCTTTAGAAAATAAGCTCAGCTACCCAGGTACTACTAGGGCCGATAGGCCGCCTTACCCTACCTATCTCAGAGGTAACCTTTTTTGAAGTGCTACGGCCGTTCTGGCACAGCCTTGCCCAGCTGATAGGCGCTCTAACGGTGGACCCACATTGAGCTCAATTATCCCGCTTCTTTTGGAAGTTATCAAAAATTTGTCAACTGATAAAATGTTGCTGATATTATGATAAACATTTTGTCAGTATACAACATTTTGATATCTTTCACAAGAATTGAGATATATAAGCTCAAAGTTGGGTGGAGTTTTATCCGAGAAAATAGTATGAAAGCAGCACGATAACCTTGAAAAACCTCCAAAAATGCCCTGTCTCCCCTTCTTTAAGTTTAAAAATAATTTCAAAATTTCAGATCGCATTCTGAATTTGTCGAATATCTTGAAACTTCGATCAAACGGCAATTCCAAATTCTTCAGATTGATAAATTTGAAGTCGCGGTTTTGAAAACGCTATTATTGTTTTCGAGTGAGTCTACTTTGAGTTCGATTACCTCGGTTCCTATGAGAGATATCGAAAACTGGTAAACTGATACAATATTGGTGATACTATGATAAACAATTTCTTTGTTAATTATTTGTTGATATCTCTCATAGGAAGCGAGATAAATGAGCTCTAATATAACAGTAAGATATACCAAATACTTGCAGGTTCCTTCCCGAAACGTCACATTTTTACGGATTTCCAAGAGAAAACTGACGCTTATAAGAACAAGTGTTTGGAAGAATTAATGGAATATTTATCAGAAAAATATCCAACAAGTTGTGAGATGAGATTTGGAAAATTGATTTTGTTTATGGGCGATATTCGGAATGCAATTAAAGTTGTCTATAATCATACGAAAATTTCGGATCTTTTCGATTCGAGAAAGTTTGATATGTTTGTTAGGAGCTTTTTCTTGTCTTAAATTTCTTTGTAATTTTTTTTGACTTGATGAAATAAATGTAATTCCTTACTTTTCTTTTTTATGAATGTTCAAAACTTGAAGTCTTCTATGTTCCTTAAACCTGTAATAGAAGGGCCCTCTAACTTTCTACCCACAGTAAAAGAAATAGGTTAAGTTGCGCCGAAGGCGCACCAGCCAGCTGTTTGAAGCGCCTGAAGCGCGGCAAACAGGCTGGTATCCAAAATGTGTCAACTGATAAAATATTGTTGATATTATGATAAATAACTTATCAGTTGACAACTTTTTCATATCTTTTACAAGGACCAAGATAAATTGGAGCAAAGTTGGATGATAGAAGAGATTCCGGTAAACTACGGTATCCATGAAAATTGTCAACTTTATTGTCCAATAACAGTCACCCTGACTTTTTCAATCTTTCTGATAGTTTTGTAGTATATCAAAAAAGTATAGAGCTCTAATTTTGTAGTTGACAGTTTTTTGGTACAAACTCATTAAAATGAGATATACCTTTTGAAATTTTCCTTGGAATTTTCGGCACTTGGTTGGTGTCAAGCGGTATATCTCACTTGCATGAATTTGTGCCAAAAAGTTTTCAACTACAAAACTGAAGCTCTATTTTTGTTTAGTACGTCTGGAATTTTCCAGTCATCCGCAGCTGACAATTTTTAATTAAAAATAGGTACTGTAAGAGTTGTTCCGATGGTTATCCGAGATTTTTTGCCCAACACGTCACGACCTTGTTTCAATTCTTAAATCTAGATTCGGTATTGAACATCTTCAGAAAAATGGTTGTTGATGTTTGTGAAAATCTGCAGACACATCAAAGTTTTTTCTCTCTCTTCTCGCCTTGTTTAGATGGTTATCTGCAGTGCATAGTTCTGTTTTGGGGCTTTCATAGGTTTCGGGGACAGTGGCGGGGGTTCAACATCTGCCTATAGGTGAACTGGACTTGTCCAACTTATATAGAACTATGACGTCAACTTGTTATTGATGTTACAGCCTTAATCACGTTACCACTTGAGTTCAAGCCAACGGGTCAAAAAACGCGCCCCTAATAACTTGAAGAACTATAGAAGAAATATAATAATTTCAAAGTTAATTAGTTTTTTAACAACGAGTTGCAACGCGTGATTTTTTCGCCCAACGCTTAAAAGTTTGATCCTCAGCCACATAATTCAGCAGCAAATTTTTTCTAAAATCTCACGTTTACTGGGGCGAGATTTCTGACCCATTGGCTTGAACCCAAGTGCGTTATGGATTTTTTGCATAAGTGCTCTTAAGCGTTGCAGGGGGTGAAAGGTATAAGCGTCCAAGACGGCTGAATGTCTAGATTTCCTTGCAAAAGGCGGAAAACGAATTCTTGCAAAAGGCATACTAATCATTTATTGTGGTCATAAATTTTTATAGCATTCGGAGATTTTCGACAGAGTTAGAGAGCAAGCTCGGCTGTCGGCTCGCAACTTCTGGCAGGAAGTTGAGGTGGTGGACGCGTCTTGGACATCTTTTGGTCAGAAGCTGCCCACTGGTAGCCGCCCAAAAGCTACCAAGTGGATGGTCGGAAGTTGGTCAGTTCTTGGCCAGGATTTGAAGGCGCTAGTATGATTCGAAGGCGCTGCCACTCCTGCCAGAAGTTACCGGCGATGCCCGAGAGTGCATTCTTTCTTTATAAATAACTACAAAAAAACTGATATTCCTCTGATAGAACGGCACCCCCTATACTCCAATTTTTAGCTCAATGTCCGTTAAACCTGTAAAAAAAGGGCCCCCACACTGTTGAGTTTGAGCTCAATTATCTCAATTCCTATGCAAGATAATAAAAACGTGTCAATTGATAAAATATTGATGATATTCATATAAATAATTTATCAGTTGGCCAGTTTCTGATATCTTTCACAGGAAATGAGATATATGGGCTCAAAGTTCATAGCTTGTTGGACAATCTATTAGTTTGATAGGTAGCATGTGAATCTAGTGGTTTGCATACAAAGCTCAATTTGTGAAGGAAGTTTATATGAAAATCATAAAAAGTACATAAAAAGTTATATTCCGCTTGATTATGATCCAAACATCGGATCCAAACAAAAATTGATGCTGAACTTTGTTCCGTTAGATCTCTCTTATCTCACATCTCCCCAGTTCCGTAGTAGCAGAAGATTTCTATCTATTATACATCAAATTCAGGGTCCAAAAATCTTATTTCGATTGTGACCATTGTTGTTTGAAGAAGTAAAAGTAGGCGTCATCCTTGACCTCGACTTCAGCTTTTAATTTGACCACTCTTTCGGTTTGGATCTAAAGAATGGAATTGAATAGACATACAAGTTTGAGCTCAATTATCTCGGCTCCTTTGAAAGATATCAAAAATTTGTCAACTGATAAAATATTGGTGATATTATGATAAACAATTTATCAGTTGATAACTTTCTCATATCTTTGACAGGGACCGAACCACCAACCTTCTTGATTATCCTCTGCATTGCTAGGATGACCACAATGGCGTACACTGGAGCACAATGAGTTACTGAAATTGAACAACTAGATTTTGAAGAAAAAAAAAGATCCCTACATCCGCAAATCGCATATACATAATCTTTTCTTTGAGTGAGATTCATCTCCGTTATAATAGTTTTCATAAAATAAATAATCATAAAAACAAAATCCAAGCAAGTGAACCTCATGCTGATTTGAATTAGCGTTTTGTTCTCTTCGATGGTGTACTTTTGGCTCAATGTCGTTTGAGTTGTGATGATACGGAGTTTCTAGAAAAAAAAACAATTTTCAGGATTAAAAGAGGGTTGGTCATTTTGAAATCGTGGCCTAACTTTTGCAAGTTAGGTTTTCTAGGCCACCAGGAAAAAATTGACCTAGAATTGATCTGATACTTATCTGGTGGGTTTTCTAGGTAATTTTGAAGTGGTGGCCTAACTTTTGCAGGTGTGGTTTTCTAGGCCACCAAGGTAGGATGGCCTAGAATTGGTCTGATGTCCACCTCATGTGTTTTCTAGGTTATTTGGAAGGGGTGGCCTAACTTTTGCAAGTGTGGATTTCTAGGCCACCAAGGTGAAATTACCTAGAATTGGTCTGAGATGCCCCTGGTGTGTTTTTTAGGATATTATAAAATGGTGGCCTAACTTTGGCAAGTTGAGTTTTCTAGGCCACCAACGCAAAAGGACCTTGAATGGATCCGATATTCACCTGGTGTGTTTTCTAGATCATTTTGAAGAGGTGGCCTAACTTTTGCAATTTGACTTTTTCTAGGCCACCAATGCAAAATGACCTAGAATTGGTCCGATAATCACCTGGTGTGTTTTTTTAGGTTATTATGAGATGGTGGCCTAACTTTGGCAAGTTGAGTTTTCTAGGCCACAAAAGAAGAATGACCTAGAATTCGTCTGATATTCACTTGGTGTGTTTTCTAGGTTTTTCCGGAATGATGGCCTAACTTTTACAAGTTGAGTTTTCTAGGCCACCACACCAAAATGACCTAGAGAACAGGCTTGTTCGGAAAAACAAATTCGGAAAATCGTGTTCTCGAACTTTTTCTCGACTTTTTTTTCGGAAAATCGAGTTCTCGAATTTTTTCTCGACTTTTTTTTCCGGAAAATCGAGTTCTCGAATTTTTTCTCGACTTTTTTTTCCGGAAAATCGAGTTCTCGAATTTTTTCTCGACTTTTTTTTCCGGAAAATCGAGTTCTCGAATTTTTTCTCGACTTTTTTTTCCGGAAAATCGAGTTCTCGAATTTTTTCTCGACTTTTTTTTTCGGAAAATCGAGTTCTCGAATTTTTTCTCGACTTTTTTTTTCGGAAAATCGAGTTCTCGAATTTTTTCTCGACTTTTTTTTTCGGAAAATCGAGTTCTCGAATTTTTTCTCGACTTTTTTTCCGGAAAATCGAGTTCTCGAATTTTCTCGAATTTCATTAGTCAAAAATTACCAGTTTATTTGACAAAAACAACAAAAACAACAAAAAGCACAAAAATAAAATGGAAAACAATAAATTTGTGCCGGAGTCTTTCTGCTCGTTGAAGAATCGGTTGCAAATATTACACTTTTTCCTTCCATCCGCCAGTCTGAAAAAAAACCAAGTGTTTTCAGTGAGAGAAGGTAAAAAATCACTGAAAAATAAAAGAAGTCTATTAAGAACAGTATAAACCGAAAAAAATGTTGAAAAAGTAATGAAAACCCTGATTAAAGTATGTTTTCATTCAAAAAAAAAAATTAATTTTAAAAAAATTCACCTTAAATCGACCCCGTAAATCGACACCGATTGCGGGTCTCGCCGCGCTTGGGTTACTGTTGCACCCGTTTCAACTATACAAAGTAGAGATTTCCTCTTCACTTTGAACGCAGCATGATTATTTCGAGAAAAAATTTTCCGAATATTTTTCGGAAAATTTTCCGACGGAAAAAAATTCCCGAAAAAAAATTCGGAAAATTTTCCGTCGGAAAAAATTTTCCGAAAAAAATCGGAAAATCGGAAAAATCGAGAACTCGATTTTCCGATTCCGACCAAGCCTGCTAGAGAACACAACATGGGGAAGTCAGGTCATTTCTGAGTAATTTTCAAAATACAATGCTGCCCCTGAGCCTTCTTATTTTTTGTAAGAACATCCAAAAAAAGCGCCAAATTCAAAAAATTGGGAGCCTACCATATTGATTTTGTACATTCTGTAACATTGTACAAAAGCAAACAAATTCGAAGACATCGTGATGATTTCTGCGCTTACTGTCCACGGTTTGTCACTATTCAGAATACAATAAACCGGACGATTCGGTAGATCTGTCTCATAAAACAAGCCAAAGGTAATGATTACACTAATCAGTGCCTGAAACTTTTGGTATGAACTGAAGAACGTTAAAAAAGGCTAACCTGAATAACAACAAAAGCGATTCCGTATTTGGATTTTTTGTTCTCATATTTCTTGGTAAAATGAGTTGCTATAGTTCGTTCCAGCGCGATAAACACAGTGGTGAAGCTAGAATAATAGATTCCAAAGCTGCATAAACTTCGGGATATAACGCATCTGGAAATAGCGTTTTGGATCTGATAGAAGTCATGCACTTTGAGCTCAATCATCTCGGTTCCTATGAGAGATTTAAAAATTTTGTCAACTGATAAAATATAGGCGATATTATCTCGTAGGAACCGAGATAATTGAGTTTGAAATGCTAATACGAGTGAGGAATCCTGTTTGTCCAGATGTCCTTGAACTCACATTCCAATAAACTGCCGACGATTACATGTTGTTAGTGGACCCATCCATAAATACATGTCCGAGGAATTTTGGATTATTCTAAATTTGATTTTTTTTATTCGAATTATGAAATTCTTACATTTGTTACTGTAAACAATCTACTGGAATCTCCCAACCCCACTTCTAACAGTCAATTTTGTGCACGTATATCTCATTCCCTGTAAAATCTATCAAAAAGTGATCAACTGATAAAATGTTTATCATAATGTCAACAACATTTTGTTAATTGACGGCTTTTTGATATCTTTCCCAGAAACCGAGATAGCATGGCTCAAAGTTGAAAGGTTGGGATTCCATTAGAGTGTTTACGCTACCTCCCAATACAATGCAACAAAATCGATATACAATGAGCGGCTGCGATAATTCGAATATTCAAATGAAAATGAGCATTTGTCACACATTTTTGTATGGCTACCACTAAAATTGGAAGTGCTATAATTGATAAAACCAGCATGACAGTTTCAGAAATGTGGAGGAAAGTGGAGTTTTGAATTTCCAGGACTTCAGTCTCGTTGCATGTTGAGTCTTGTGGTGGAGGCATTTTCTAGGATGTCTGAAAATATTTTTTTCAAGTTTTGTGGATAATCGAGGAACATTTTGAAAACAAGACAGAAGTAAAATTTACCGTAAAACCTGTATTAGAAGGGTCGGCTCTTATATTTTTCCAAGGTACCTTTGGAGGGCCCTTCTATTACAGGGGTGCTTCAATTAAAGGGGGCCCTTCTATTTTTCCGGCCAATTTTTTCTGAAAGTTTGCATCGAAAAATTCGACGAAGTTTTGTTCAAAATTCATGAAAATCTGTCAATTTCATCAAAATTAATCAAGTTTTTGTGCAAAAAATAGTGTTTCAACAAATTTCTACTAAATTTTAAAATTCCTGGAATAGTTTTCACTGAAAACGTACGGAAATTTTTCAATTTCACGACATATTTTGAAGGGTGTTCTTATTTACAGAGGGCCCTTCTATTACGGGGGCCCTTATATTACAGAGGGCTCTTCTATTTTTCCAAGCCCTCTCGGGGGCCTTTTTTCTAGATGAGCCCTTCTATTAAAGGGGCCCTTCTAATACAGCTTTTACGGTAGGTCAGCAAAAAATAAAGGCAAAAGGAAGAACTTGAGAATATCATTAGATACGGATCAGTGGAGATGGGTTTCAAAAATTCAATGATTTTGGGGAAAAACAAACTTGATAAAACTAGACTTTTAGTGATAAATGAAATCAAAACATCTTTTTTATTCTAAAAATAGGAGAGACTTGAACAGGGAACAATTTGGATTCCAAAAACGTTTACTAATTTTGAGAAACTTACATTAGAATTCTCAGAAAATTAAACGACGCACATTTTTTTTTGACAAACTTTGATTCTGAACAAAAAAGGTGAAGTTTGAAAAAATATTTCGAAAAAAGTGTTACCGTACTTTAAGGAAAAAAAAACTAGCTGTCATAAGAACAGGAACGTGATTTTGGAGGGCCTACCCTATACATGCCTTCTGAGCTCAATTATCTCGTCTCCTGTAAGAGATATCTAAAAGTTGTCAACTGATAAGTTTTTTATCATAATATCACCAATATTTTATTAGTTGACAGAATCTTAATATCACTCATAGGATCCGAGATAATTGAGCTCAAAGCTGAGGGATTGGGTAGGCTTCTATTAGAGCAATTACGTTATTTCATACAATTCCCGACCATTTTATCAAAACTTACAAGCTGAAGATACAAACTACAAGCTCAGAAAATATCAGACAACCTCCAAGAGTTCTTTCCTAGATTTACAGGTGAGGCCAAGCTACTGAAAATAACAACAAGCTGAAATATTTAGTTGCCCAGGCAAGCTACCCCCAAACCCTTTCTGCAGTTCCCTGTGCGCTTGCAACGACGCTTCGCTGTTCGGCTGAGGACAAGCGCGCCAACCATTATTTTCAGAAAATGGAAAATAATGAATTCTGATTAGATTAGCTATAAGTAGGAGTAAATCAAAAGTGCCTAACCGGAAAACCTAAATCTAGTTGTTATTTTGTAGTTTTACTAGAATTATAGAAAGACGTGACCCAGAACAACAAACCAGATGAAAAAATAAATCAAATCGCGCCGAAGGCGCGCCAGACAGCTGGTAAGAAAGAGAATTTTCGAGTAAACTCGTGAGAAAATATGTCAAACTTTCAATGATTCACACGAGAAATTTTTCTAGCTCAATTCACAATTTTTCGGAGAGAAGTCAGACTAGACAAGAAGATTTTGACTTGTTAGGAAGTCAGAAGTTTTACGAAATTTAAAAAAAAATTTACGAAAAAAAAAAACATTTACCAATTTCTGAAAGGCACCCCGCTTCTGCCCGTTTTTGTATTGAAAATACAAAACACCAGGTGTCTTTAAGAAATCGGCAAATTTTTAATGGTAAAAATTACCGGTAGAGTTACCGGTAAATTTACAGAAAACTATCGGTAATTTTTAGGAAAATTTTCTGTTTTTTTTTAATTTGTAACCAGAAAACCGCGACGTTTCAGAACCGCGACGTTTCAGAACTGCGACATTTTAAAACCGCGACGTTTCAAAACTGCGACGTTTTAGAACCGCGACATTTCAGAACAGCGACGTTTTAGAACCGCGCCGTTTTAAAACTGACCATTTCAGAACTGTTGCGAAACTGTCAAAAAAAAAAACTAATGAATCAGCAAAAAAAACATTCGTTTAGTCCTCGAGGAAAATAAATATTTTACCGGTAATTTATCAGTAAAATACTGGTAAATCTTTGGTAGTTTTCAATGTTTTTTACCGGTAGGTTACCGGCAAACTTCGGTAAATTTTTACCGGTAAATTACCGGTAAAATCACCAAAAAAACCGTTACCGGTAAGTGAAAATCGGAAGTGTGAGGTAAAGTATAAGTACTCCAATTTTCAAAACAATTCCCAAAAGACCAATATTTTCCTTGTAAGCTTTAGTGAGTTCTAAGAAAAATATCATAACCAAAAACATCGAGAATCTGCATGTTTTGCAAAGTTTAAAAAAAAACTATTTTTGTCTGAAAACTTGTCTTAAAAATGATGTTTTCAAAAAAAATTCAGAAAAAAAGTGACAAAAATTTTCCAGACATGGTGGGAAACAGGACGAATCATTGTTTTTTTTGACATCTCATTTTCAGAAATATAATTTCCAAAATTTCCAAAAATCCGACTTATTTTTTTTTGCTTTTTGTATTTTCACTTTCTCAAATTCCGATAGAAAAGCATATCTAAAGGATCAAGTACAAAAATTCATTATCTGATTTTCAAGAAAAAAAATTCTGACACACGGAAGTAAATCGCTCGAAATGACCAAGAGAGATCAGGAAGAGAAATAGGAACAATAGAGAACTGAATTTTTGTTGAGAAATAAATAAAAGAATTAGAATTGTGTTGGGGGTCAAGCATTCCATTTAATGGCTAAAAAATGGTTCATACTGTAACTCCGGAAAAATCCGAAAATCTCCTTTCAGAAAAAAGTGTGTAACAGTTTAGTACCAGAAAAAAGTAAGCGACAGAAATTATATGGATTTGGCCACGGCTTTTGGCTCTGGCTCTGAAGCTGAAAAAAGCTGAAAATGATTCGAATTGACTGGTATTTTCAAAAAACAAAATTGTGCATTGAGCTGTGGAAGCTTATCAAGTCATATTCAAAAAATTCGGAACAACAATCCTATTCACTGGTCATTTGGTTATTTCTTCAATAACAAAAAATGCCCTTTCAAATTTTGAATAGAATTTAATTATCTTGTGGAGAAAATAACACGATTTATCTTGAAATTTTTGCTGGCTTGAATTATTTTCAGCAGAGTTACAGTACTGGTCCATCGGATACACAACAATGTATTTTTCAGCTTATTTTCGGCCATTCTGACCAATTTCAGGAGTCTCGAGCTCGGCTGTCAAGTTTCCGATCACTTTGAAACCTATGGAGAGTGTAAAACAGACCAAGATTGAAAACTTAGCAATCACAGAACTTTTTGTTTTTCAGCTATTTATCGATTCCAGAAAATGGTCAAAACCACCGAAAATTAACTGACTGTTACTCTGTTTTCAATACATTTTCTGAGAGGACAATGGCTTTGGAGTTTGGGATAACATATTTTTGAAGATGAATTTCTGATGTGAAGAAATGTGTCCCACTACCATCCACCTAAATGCTCATTAAAATAAGCAGCACATTTTCTTAAAATTTGAGCATACTGATGAAAAAACGTACAATCTGAAAATGTTCTTTGAATATTCATGTTTATCTTTTTCCAGAAAAAAATTTTCATGAAAAATCGCAAGGCGTTTTCTGAGAAAAAGGACATGTTCCTGTTCTTATTTCGTACATCAAACACGAAAAATTGCAACATTTACTGAAATTTTCAACAAATATTTATGAAAAAAATTAGGTCCACTGATTATGAATGAATTGAAAGTATGCGTCCTCTGACACTTGTATCTTTCGCTCCATTCGAGTGATTCGTTCATCGCGTTGCAGAAAAAAAGGACCCACACTTTTTTTCTTAACTTCAAAAAGCTTGTGTAGAAAAAATATAGACACTACTCGCCTCATCCAACAAAATCTGGTCCCTTTTTTAAAATTAAAAATAGAAAAAATTAAGACACTCTTGGGTACTGTAGTTATGTAAGATATGTTGTAAACTGAATGATTTTCAGGAACTTTGTGTTACAGTGAACATCATAAAAATCTTTTATTTCACAAAAAAAATATTTCTCTAGAACCCGAATCTTCCATTCCAATAAGGAACTTGTACAAAAAATCAAATAATCGAAATTCATAATTTCCCAATTCTCATTAACAACGGAGCTGCATCTGGTTCATTCCTACACCCCGTACGATACCAGGATTCTAGATAAACATTGAAATAAGTAAAATGATCCTCGATATTGAACGGGAAGACACTTCGGCCTACAGTAGTATCGGGACGAGATCCAATTTCAAAATTCGCGCCGTGTGCCATGCCATGGGGGTACCAAATCTGGAATTATTGTTCAAGTTTTTCAAACGTTCTAAGTTTATTGGAAAGTGTAGACTACCTTGGCTTAGAGAACTCAAATTTCAAAAGTTTGGCCGAATGGCCTAGAAAACACACCAGGTGCATGTTAGGCCATTTCTAGGCTAAAAAAGTTGGTGGCTTAGAAAACTCTAGTTCCATAAATTAGGCCACCATGAAAAAGTGACCTCGGTCATTTCTGGAGCTTCAACTACGGTGGCCTAGAAAAAAAAATTTTGACGAAGTTAGGCACTCTATTCCTAACATGAAATAAATTTCCCTTACCTCAGTATTGTGATGAAAGGAGCCTTTATCAATATCATCGGGAAACGTTCTTGGCGGAAGAGCTGGAATCGGATCCTTACTATGCTCAATTCTCCAAGAATCGGAAACCAACTCATCGTGAGCCTCGGCCAAATCGATATCTCCAATCCTTGGCATCCCAAAAGTCACCAGTTTCGTTCTCGAACCAGTCAACCCGTAGGTTTTCGCCACGTAGGATGAAGCGATCGATGCTAAGCCACCGCCTAGTGAATGCCCAAAAAACCAAATTTTGACGTCTTTTTCCTCTTCTAGAATCTTCTCAACACCCTTCTGAATTCCTTTGTTCCATAATTCATAAAAAGCATTCAAATAGTACCCATCCACGACCCCTTTTGTAACATTAAAGGGGATTTTTGGGTGAAGAAAGAATGAAATTCCTTCATCGATCAATTGGAAAAGTGTAGTGGTGCCTCGGAACACTAGAACCATGGCATTTTGGTTTTTTAGATAAGCACTGTAGGCAAAACAAGTGGTCTGTAAAAGTTTTTATTATTTATTTTTTGTTTGTTTTGTTAATCATTGATCTTGTTTTTCTTCAAACGTCATTTCCTCCAAAAAAAAGTTGAAATTTTATGATATTTTTTAAGTTCATATACCGTAAAACCTCTAATAGAACGACACCCGGAACGTCCACTTTGAGCCTATATATCTCACTTCTTTTAAAAGGTATCAAAAAGTGGTTAACTAGTAAAATGTTTATCAGGATATCAGCAACATTTCACTAGTTAGCCACTTTTTGATATCTTTTGCAGAAAATGAGATATATAGGCTCAAAGTGGACGATCCGGGTGTCGTTCTATTAGAGGTTTTACGGTATCTCATTTTCTGTGAGAGTTATCGAAAAGTGGTCAACTGATAAAATGTTTATCATTATATCGAAATCATTTTATCAGTTGATTTCTTTTTGATGTCTTACAAAGAAACCGAGATAAATTGGCTTAAAGTCTAAAGAACTTACAATTTCCGTTTTATCACAAAAAATCTCATAGGAATTGATAACTTGGATTTGGTCGAAACAGGACTCCAGGGATGCGGAGAGCTGGAAATGTTAAAATTTTCTTTTTTTTATTCAAAAATCCGGAACTCAGAAATTCTGTAATTCAAAAGATCAGAAATTCAAAAATTTAAGAAAAACGAACCTGTTGATTATCGGGTGCATGAGTAGCCGCAATTAATGGAAGAACAGTTTTTCTCATAAACGATTCGTCGTATCTGGAGAAATTGTGAAATTAAAAAAAAATCAAATAATCAATTTTCAGAACTATGAGCAGTTTCTATGCGCTTTATGTAATTTTCAAGATGTTTTTTTTTTTTTTGAATTTTTTTTTCGGAAATTTGGAATCTCGGAATTTCGCAATCTCAGAAGCTCAGAATCTCAGAATCTCAGAATCTCCGAATCTCAGAATCTCAGAATCTCAGAATCTTCGACAATTCAAAAACTTCCCATACACACCTAACATTTGACACATCCGCCGGACAATTATACTTATCCAGTGTCCAATCATCCACGTGGCATTTTTCTACAGTAGTCTGCTCAGAAGCACAAGAGTTGCTCGTCGAGCACCATTGACATTTGTAACCAAATCCATCAGTAGCATTCACACAGGTTTCACAGGACTCAATTCTGGTACATGAGTCCAATGGAGCGAATTTGCAGAGTTCAAAAGAGAGTAATAGAAGAATTAGAAGTTTCATTTTCAGATATACAGTGCATCCTAGACCCCTATTTATACAAGATATGAGTCACAAGAGCAATCTGACCAAATGACTGAAAAATGCATTTTAAAATAGAAACCACGTGGCTCGAAACTTGGAGCATTCAGTAATTTGGGTCTTTTTGAGGTGTTATCAGTTGATAAAAACACTACATTCCGATGCAGCACAGAGAACGGTTTATTACTATTTTGAGATGTGAGGGACAGACAGAAACACAGACAGACAGAAATTACTGAAATTCTGAAATTTGAGATTCTGAGACATTCGTAATCGGGAAAGTTTTCGAGATCACATTTTGAGATTCTGAGATATTGCGATTCTTAGATATTGAGATTCCGATATTCTGAGATTTTGAGATTCTGAGATTCTGAGATTCTGAGATTCTGAGATTTTGAGATTCTGAGATTTTGAGATTCTGAGATTCTGAGATTCTGAGATTTTGAGATTCTGAGATTCTGAGATTTTGAGATTTTGAGATTCTGAGATTTTGAGATTCTGAGATTCTGAGATTCTGAGATTTTGAGATTCTGAGATTCTGAGATTTTGAGATTTTGAGATTCTGAGATTCTGAGATTTTGAGATTCTGAGATTTTGAGATTCTGAGATTCTGAGATTTTGAGATTTTGAGATTCTGAGATTCTGAGATTTTGAGATTCTGAGATTCTGAGATTCTGAGATTTTGAGATTCTGAGATTCTGAGATTCTGAGATTTTGAGATTTTGAGATTTTGAGATTCTGAGATTTTGAGATTCTGAGATTCTGAGATTTTGAGATTCTGAGATTTTGCGATTCCGAGATACTGAAATTCGGAGATTCCGAATTTTCAAAATTAAAAAAAAAGTTTAAAAAATATTTCGAAAATTGAAAAAAAAAAATATTTCGAAAAATGCATTTTAAAATAGAAACCACGTGGCTCGAAACTTGGAGCATTCAGTAATTTGGGTCTTTTTGAGGTGTTATCAGTTGATAAAAACACTACATTCCGATGCAGCACAGAGAACGGTTTATTACTATTTTGAGATGTGAGGGACAGACAGAAACACAGACAGACAGAAATTACTGAAATTCTGAAATTTGAGATTCTGAGACATTCGTAATCGGGAAAGTTTTCGAGATCACATTTTGAGATTCTGAGATATTGCGATTCTTAGATATTGAGATTCCGATATTCTGAGATTTTGAGATTCTGAGATTCTGAGATTCTGAGATTCTGAAATTCTGAAATACTGAAATTCTGAGGTTCTGAGATTCTTAAATAACTGAAATTCTAAAATTTTTGAAATTTTTGAAATTCTGAGATCCTGAGATTCTGAGATTCTGAGATTCTGAAATTCTGAGATTCCGAGATTCTGAGATTCCGAGATTCTGAGATTCTGAGATTCTGAGGTTCTGAGATTCTGAGATTCTGAGATTCTGAGATTCTGAGATTTAGAGATTCTGAGATTTTGAGATTCTGAGATTCTGAGATTTTGAAATTCTGAGATTCCGAGTTTCTGAGATTCTGAGATTCTGAGGTTCTGAGATTCTGAGATTTTGAGATTCTGAGATTCTGAGATTCTGAGATTCTGAGATTTAGAGATTCTGAGATTTTGAGATTCTGAGATTCTGAGATTTTGAAATTCTGAGATTCCGAGTTTCTGAGATTCTGAGATTCTGAGGTTCTGAGATTCTGAGATTCTGAGATTCTGAGATTCTGAGATTCTGAGATTTTGAGATTCTGAGATTTTGAGATTCTGAGCCTCTGAAATTCTGAAATACTGAAATTCTGAAAATTTTGAAATTTTTGAAACTTCTCTGATTTTTTTGTTGAGAAGTATAACTCGAAAAAAAGGAAACTTTTGTGTAGATCAAAAAAATATATAAATTTTGCCCTACCGGGTAAAAAATGCGGCAATTTCAGTTTTTTATTGATTTTCAAAAAGATCACTCTTTTTCATTTTTAACAGTTTTTTATGATTTTCCAAACCACATTTTATCTTATTTTCAGACGTTTTTTTTTTTTCAAATAATCAACTTTCAAAACTATTATGCGTTTTATGCAATTTTCGAAATATTTTTTAAACTTTTTTTTTAATTTTGAAAATTCGGAATCTCCGAATTTCAGTATCTCGGAATCGCAAAATCTCAAAATCGCAGAATCTCGGAATCTCGGAATCTCGGAATCTCGGAATCTCAGAATCTCAGAATCTCAGAATCTCAGGATCTCAGAATCTCAGAATCTCAGAATCTCAGAATCTCAGAATCTCAAAATCGCAGAATCTCAAAATTTCAGTATCTCAGAATCACAAAATCTCAGAATCTTAGAATCTCAGAATCTCAAATCTCAGAATCTCAGAATCTCAGAATTTCAGAATCTTCGAATCTCTGAATCTCTGAATCTCCAAAATATTAATTTCCAGGTGAAAATGTTCCACGAAACCTCATCATTCATTTCCGGCCAAAACAGATACATCAAAGCTGACGAATCCACAAATTTCATCGAAATCAAACTGAAGGAGATGCTGAAAAAACGGGACGAGGAGCTGAAAAAAGCGAGAGATGAGAAAAATAGGTTGGAGAGAGAATTGAAGACACGAACTCAATATAAAAAGAAGAGAATTCAAACGGGAGTTGATGAAAAGTTGAATGAGAAGACGAAGGACTTTAAGGATTCGGGAAATTCTGAAAATTCAGAATCCGGCGATTCTTGGGAATCTCCAAAACCCACAAACGATTTGGATCAGATTGAAGTTCGAAAGACACTTTTGGATTTGTTTGATTCGATCCATGAAATGAGAGAGAAGAATAAAGAATTGGAATTTTTGGCTGAGCAACGGAACAAATGGACTGAGAAGTTTTTTGAGGAGAACCAATCGTTGGTACCAAAAATGAAGATTGATTTGAATCCCATTAGTCTCTCGGAGAAAGTTCTGGAATTTGTGAAAAATCTGAAACCGTTAGAGGAGGATGAGCAGTTGAAAGAGAGTGAAGTGTTGCAGTTGAGAGCCGAAGAAATCAAATTTTTCGAATCGTTGGTTTGATTTACTAATAATTTTCTCTGTGTAATAATAATAATTGTAATAACTTGTGCGTTTGTATCTCCTTTTGAGCTTTGGAATAAATTTGATCAATTGGGAATTTTGAAAAAAAAAAATTATAAGTCTATGATTTCAGAAATCTGAAAATTTGAAAATTTGAGGGACCTGAAATTATTGTAAATGGTCAAAATTTGATCGGTTCAAAAACTCAAAAGTTCCGAAATTCAGGAGTTCAGAAATTTAGAAATTCAGATATTCAGAAATTTTGAAATTCAGAAATTCGGAAAATCAGAAATTCAGAAATTCGGAAAATCAGAAATTCAGAAATTCAGAAATTCGGAAATTCAGAAATTCAGAAATTTAGAAATTCAGATATTCAGAAATTTTGAAATTCAGAAATTCGGAAAATCAGAAATTCAGAAATTCAGAAATTCGGATATTCAGAAATTCGGAAATTTAGAAATTCAGATATTCAGAAATTTGAAATTCAGAAATTCAGAAATTCAAAAATTTAGAAATTCAGATATTCAGA